TGGTTGAATGAGCACTTGGTTCTTCATGTCATGTAACAACTTTTCAGATCTTTGCCTCCCATCCTCCTCCATACCCTCACTCCCCAACTTTCAACTGGACAAAGGGATAAATTCCTAGTAGTTCAGGGAAGTAATAACTACTGGTACTCTGAGCACACTAGTTGGCCAAGATAACAAGGAGCCCTGTGGCTAGTAAGCTGCTCATTCTTCAACCTACTAGTCTGGATTTTAGAGAACAGAGAAGTACTTTAAAGACATTCAAGTGGGGGGAAAAACATACATTTTAAGAAGATAATTACGTTCATCTTTAATCTAGAGGGATATGAATCAAGTGTGTCCTTGAAGAAAACATTAAAGGTAAGATATACTAATTACAACAACTGAGTTAAAAGCAAAGTGTTTTTTAAATGAGCAGATCCCAAAGAACCAAATCCTACTTATGACCAATGTTGTATACAGTCCTAAACTATTTTTCCCCGTGAACTTCAGTTTGGCTGCTCACATCCCTATTCAGTGAAGATAATCAACTTTTAGAAAATGGATTCCCAGTCCACGTGTAGAAAGTGTTTAAGGTATTTCAGTAATGGCTGTGTCTAAACAAAATCTTTATGTTTGGATATATTTCAAAAAACTGTAGGTGAACAAGTTTTGATTTTGATGATTATATATTGGTCTGGGACATTAGCTTCTTAGATAAAGGCCATCGCTCTTCCTTATGGCCTTGTGAAAGGAGAGCTTATGAGCAAACAGCAATAAAATAATTAACATTTTACTAATATTGGTACAGCAGCTATAGGATAGAAATTTTCAAAAGCAATCCACATCTGACTAATTTTGTAAGGTTCAGGCAATGTTGAGGGCTTTGAATTTCCCACCCATAGCTATAATTTTATATACACACACCTATACTAGCCCTTTAGGACAATTTGTATACGTCTTTGAAACATGTATTACTGTTTTTAAAGGAGCAGTATTTTTAAAGGTACTGAGTTTTTGGTTTAGAGCATACAGCTCGTTGAGTCAAATTCGGCCTTCATACATGCAAAGTTTTATTGATTTCAGTGCGATTGCACAGGATGTGAGAGCATAATTTTATTTATTATCTCTAAAGCAAGAGCAAATGGAGTTTTTTGCATGCTTGTACATGCATCCCAGTTTCATAATGCATCCCCCATTCCTGCTTTATATTAAAAGAAAAACTGCAATGAGTAATTGCTCATTCTTAGTGTCATGTGTTCTGGCTTGATGTAGAAGATTAAAGAGGCTCTGTCAACTAGATATCAAAATCTGCCTTTCTTAAGTAAAGTAATTCTCTTGTAATATCCATGGATACTGATGCCTGCTTTTTAGGGTGGGAATACTTCAGTGGGCCATCATCTGCCCAGAACAGAAACCAGACAAACACTTGAACTTATTGCCACCAACTTATAAATATTTAGCAGGTTTCTACCTTAAACAGCCACTGAAAATGGTGGGCACTTCCTAAACTACTACTTGGATCCTTCCATTATCCTTTCTCCACCAGAAGAGGCTGTGGAGCCACTCCACGACTTGCCACAGGATTTCCCCATTGCTGCTCCAGTAGAAGTACATAATAAGTTTGTAATCGGTTTCTGACAGAACTGAAATTGAAATCTGCATTTGTAATGTATTTAAACACCGTTTGCTGACTGTAACAGGTGATATGTGCATTTGTATCAAACTTTTAAAGTCATATTTCAAATAAAAAAAGTTCCTAAAAAATTAGGGTGTTATGTGAGATTTTACTATCCTTTCTAGAAAAGAGAAGATTGGGGTCCTAAATAGGTTGCTACTGTCCCTTTAAAGAATTTGCCAGTAGTCTAATCCTACATATTATAAAACTGCAATTGTTGTAACATCTTCCATTAATAAGTCCTTACTTGTATCCCAGTGACACAAACATGATAGACACTGTTGCCCTACAACGCACCAATGCACAAGGACACAGAAGAGAACAGTCCCTGTCTAGAAGAGCTTATAGCCTAAGAAATATATTGCATTTAGACCTAGTTTATCCATTTTCTAAAAATCAGACTTGAAAGAAAATACCAGGTACCTACATTTTTGAATGTATATATTTTCAGACTTAATTAGTTGAATATGCCTCTGATTTTCATAATCTTACATTGATGTCAAGAAAAATAGTATCTGAAATCAGATAAAGAAGAACAAATGTCTATTTAGATAAATTTCCTGGGTTTCTCCCCATATTTTGAGCTGGTAACATGAGTCAATACTGGAACAACTCATTGAAATAGGCTGCAGGAAGTTATACCTCATTCTCCCCTTGTCTCTGAATATTATTGCTTCCATTGAAGTAGTTGAGACCACAATATTTGGAACAGTTGCAGCTGCTTGGTGCTAATTTCTGAGTACATAGGAAGTCTTTATGATTTCTATGGCACTTTTTTAATGTTAAAATGAGATGAAAAATAATTACCCTTTTTAACTTCCTTCATTCATATATAAAGGCAAACTTCTAGTAAACTACTTTCCCTGCAGTATTTTCATATGTAAAAACAAAATGTTAGCTATTCGTACTTTCCTGTGTGTTAGGTCTGGTAGACTAAAAGCAATTGAAATGAGAAAATACACAGGCAGAAACAATAGACACTTGATAATGATTTTGCTGAAGTGTGTTAATAGTTAACTTTACAGCCTTGATAATCTGAATCTCTTCCAGGTGACCGAGTGCAATGGCGTTTAGCTTCCTGCATTTGTCAATGTGAAAATACGCATTTGCTTCCTCATCATTGTCATGCTGCAGCCACGCAATTAAGTGGTTTTGCTCCTGAGTCAATCAAACAGCAACCATCTCTTGCCAAAAGTATATCAAAAAGCTCATAACTGGCTCTCCTTCAATCAGTTAATCTCTGCTTTTTATTTTTTGTTAAAAGATATTGGGTGTCTCATTTACAGTTGTTCCTGTGGGCTGATATTTTTGAATGCATATAGTGTAGGGTTTTTTTTTAATGATTTTAGTAATCTGACTACAGGAAGAGAATCTGTCTGAAAAGCTACTGCTGAATATAACAAAGGTCACAGTATGTGCTGAGATTACACAAAGTGGAATTTTGGAGTGGGAGTGCCAGTGTGGAGAGGAGCATTAACTGGTGTCAACCGGGAATCTGTTTTATACTGACAACATGTAATCCCCTGAAAATAGGGGTTTATAATGGGAAAGATAGATTATCATATAGAGAACATTGTGTACGTTCAAGCTCGTTTCAGAAGAGCGATTGAGCTGTGTCTTTGGAGGAACGAGCATTTGCTGTACAGCCCATTGTTCCAGTAGCAGCTCTGAGGCAGTTTGGTCTAATGGACTGAACACAAGTCTCGGAGAAAGGAACTCCTGGGTTCTAATTCTTAACTATCACTGATTCGCCATGTGGCCTTGGGCAAGTTACTTAGCCCCATTTCCCATCTGTAAAACAAATAATAATACCTACATACCACAGTGGGGTGTTGCAAGCATAGGTTAATGTTTGTAGAGCACTTTGGGGATGGAAAGCATTACATCTTTAACTGGAGTATTGTGTCCAGTTCTGGGTGCCACATTTCAGGAAAGATGTGAACAAATTGAAGAAAGTCCAGAGAAGAGAAACAAAAATGATTAAAGGTATAGAAAACATGACCTATGAGGGACTATTGAAAAAATTGGGTTTGTTTAACCTGGAAAAGAGAAGACTCAGAGGGGACATGATAACAGTTTTCAAGAACATAAAAAGTTGTTACAAGGAAGAGGGAGAAGAATTGTTGTTCTTAACCTCTGAGGATAGGACAAGAAGCAATGGGCTTAAATTGCAGTAATGGAGGTTTAGGTTGGACATTAGGAAAAACTTCCTAACTGTCAGGGTGATTAAGCACCGGAATAAATTGCCCAGGGAGGTTGTGGAATCTCCATAATTGGAGCTTTTTAAGAGCAGGTTAGACAAACACCTGTCAGGAATGGTCTAGATAATACTTAGTCCTGCCATCAGTGTTGGGCACTGGACTAGATGACCTCTCAAGGTCCCTTCCAGTCCTATGATTCTATTATGAGTGCTTAGAACTGGTTCAAAGGTCTAGTCCTACAGAGTTTGACTCATCAGAGGGAGGGTTTAGGAAAACAACGGTCATGATGATTTGAATAACACATGTCCCTGTCTTTATTTTTTGCCCTCACAAAATAAATCTACTAGAGCAAAGCATCTTTGTCTAATTATTTGCCCCCTGTACCATTCATACCCTTTGAATTACTGAAGAATGCTACAAGATTCTCTTCTACCTAGCTAAAAATTCTGTATGCTGCAGTGTTACAAGATCACTTTCATTTGTTGAAGCGAGTAAAACATTTAGCTCAAATATTTAACACATTTTGTAGATTTAGAGAGCCAAAGGGGGGATATAGTATGTGGTCCCTGTGTGTCTAGCAACATATTCCCCACCTCCAGAAACATAGATATTGAGATCAGATATTCCACAAATTCTGAATTCATGAAAGATTTTTCCATTCCTTCCTCCCCCACCTCCCTTTGCTCCCTACTTTCTAGACATTTGATTGCTTTCTGAAGGAATACTTACTACAATAACATGTCCATTCTCTCTGGGGCTAAAGAGAATTCTAATTTTAAAAAAGGAAAATGTAAAAATGTACTCTTCTGTAAAAATAATCTGTAGTGATCACTATTTAACACAATAAGGGGGAACTGAGCCATTTTTAGTCCCTATCCAGTTTCTGTTCAATAGCTCAAACTATATCTAACTGCCAGCTAATAGCTCAATTGTATAGATTACTCAATTATTCCAAGAGATTTCAATCTGCTTGAAAATGTTTGTGTGCCAGTTTCTTTGGCATTTTTGAAGTAATATAAGATTACAGTTATTGGCTAATAATGTTTGCATTGCTGGTAGGCAAGTGGGCTTTTTTAGATGAACCATTGTCATAACATATCTTTTCTCATTTCCCAATCCATCTTCCCTTCCTTCTCCAATTCTAGGCCTTTCAATGGACCATCCTCAGCTCTCTTCCTTCACATTGAAGAGTCCACAGAGCTTGAACCCCACATTTCAGGTGAATTTGAACCCAGCTGGCCAGGGTTCATCTCCTCTTCTGAGTCCTGTCCTGAGCGATGCTGGCAGTGCCCGGGTAGAAGAGGAAGAGGAAGTAAAACACAAGGTAAGGCAATGGCATTACAGAGAACCTAAGCAATGAGTGAGGAGTGTGTATTGACTTAGCGTGGATTCTGATGCAGTTCTCTGTATATTCTTCGTTACTATTAACGATATTTTGTGCTAATACGAACTTAGTGTTTGCAAGCTCCTACAATGAAAATTCAGTGGGAGTATGTTGACCCTGGGGTCCCGGAGTCTCTTGCATTAGAACCTCATGCCAGGATAGTCCTCATTGCTGCTGTTGGAGTCGAGTGTGCATGTTGCTTAAGTGTGTGTGTTGTTAAGCACAGCATAATCCTTGTCTATGCACAGTGTTGTTGTATTTAACATTGTCAACTGATTGGACAGTCCTTGTCTACACTAAGTGCTTAACGTCGTGTTAGTTAAAAATTTGTTCTAACCTGATTTAATTTCCCAGGGTGGACAGGGCCACCGAGCTAAAATCTGTTAACGTACAGGGCATGTGGCAAAAACTACTTAGGCTTTATTAGAAGGTGAGGTTAGAGTGAGGAACTTTCAGTTATTTTTGAAGGTTGGTGCATGGATGGTTTTTGACACTGTATCAGCTAACAATTACTTTGTTTTTTTAAATATTGAGCTGCACTCAGTTTTATGGCAGGCACATCATATATAAAAGGAAATAATAAAACAATCGTAACGTGTGTGTGTGTATATATATATATATATGTATGTATATATATATGTGTGTGTGTGTGTGTATATATATATATGTGTGTGTGTGTGTGTATATATATATATATATATGTGTGTATAAAAATAAAAAATATATCAATATTATAGTGGCACTGTCTTTTTCCATTTCTGTCACATATACCTCATTTTTCAAAAGTGTAATATCTCAACAATTTGCATTCCCTTTGGATTGAAACTCATTTAAAAAAGTTTTTAAGCCTTGGGATGAATTTTTGTTGCTAATTGATTTTAAGCATGGTCAACTTCTGAGAGTTCTAAAGCTTCAGTTTCCTCTTGAAAATAATTTCTTAAAATGAAACTTATCCAGGATCAGACCTTAAGTTTCATGGTAAATTTTTACAGGCTATTTATGAATACCTGGAAGATGGAGACTTACAATGGGAATACGAATATGAATGTGTTGGTGCTGATGAGTGCTGCTGTAATTTTATAGAAATATCAGGGCATGAATGTGTAACTTAAGTTTTTATATGCTACGTATTGTCTTGTATTTTAAAATCGTAGTTCCATTTACTAAAATTAAATCATTGCACAAGTAAAGGTAAGTCTTCCCCAGCATTTCTCTAGATTACAAAACACTTAGTGAAAATGTTCAGTAGCCCTTAGTTTCTCATTGCTTTCATGTGGCACCATGTGCTTGCAGAACTGCAGTGTTAACTCTTTTTTGGCACTTGAATTGGATTTCTGGAAAAGGAAAGAGGCTCAGTGATGGGGAAAGAACAATAGGATTTGAGAGGGAAAATAGAAATAGTGCGGTAGTTGGCACCCGAAAGACAGTTTAAAAGATGTCATTACCATGACTGCTCTGCAGTGTAAAGGGCATTAGGTGAGGGTTGGTACGCTATCTAGAGTAATAAATACCTTTTTTGCTTCTTATAAATATTTATTTTAAAAGACAACTGAAATGTTAAAGACTCTTCAAAGGGAGCATTCAGAGACGTATAAAGGTTAGAAAATAAACTCAAAAAGAAGATAAAGTGAAGCAACACCACCCCAAGCTAAATTTTAGCTTGGAAATGTTTGTAGTGGCAAGGAAGCCACACATCATCATCCTGCCATTGCTGCTGCAGGCACTGTGTGAGTTCTCCGCATGCTGGTTCCACACCATATGCCCTTGTTCCATCTAGGATGGGTGCACCCCTCTCTACCTATTAGGGTACGCAGAATGGAGCAGATATGAACAGAATGAGATACTCAATACTAATGCCAGGCACTTACTACAGCTGCGCCTTATAAGGTAGAGGGGAGAGAAGGAGAGTGGAGGGTGGGTATGAGGAACGTTCTAGGAAGAGAGCTCAGATTCTAAGTTCTTCAGGGCAGAGACCATCTTTTTGTTTTATGTTCGTACAGCACCTAACACGATGTTTGGAGCTACTACAATACAAATAATAGTAATAGAGTTAGAGGAGACAGAAGAAAGTTGGATAACTTTGATCTTGTCAATAATGAGGAGAGTCAGTCAGTGCATGAGGGAGGGCAAAAACAATAGTGAGGGCCTTAATTACCTGGCTTACAGGAAGAAACATGGGTCTGGTGCTTATTTCACGGGACCAGAAATGGCGCTCAACAGAGTGCAGCTGCTCTGTGACTGCCAGCAGGAACTGTGAATTGTTTTTGTCAATGGCTTGCAGCAGGGCTGCTTGCAGGACATCGCTATGTTCCATGCGGTGGACCCTACTTTGGCTCTGGAAATACTGCAGGAGAAACCGCGAGGTGTTTGAGATGCTCGCAGCAAGAGTGCACAACTGAGCAGGCGCCATAACCCCAGAAGCATGGAGTACGCGCGGTGGTTTTAAGGCGCGAAAACCACTGGGTTGTTTGCCATTGATACGAGGGAGGGAGGACAGTGCATTATGGGATGCCGATGCAATATTCCCATTCTCCCTTGTGACAATGTATTGGTCTCATGAGGCATTGCACAAACTTCCCAAAGCACACTGCGGCAAGTTGCACTTTGGGATTGCTACCCACGATGCTTTGTGCATCGTTGCAGGCGCTGCTAGTGACGCACTCCATCGAGACAATGAGCATGGTGTGGCCACACACAATCGACTTAATTAATTTGGAGGCTCAAGGTCAAAATAGATCAAGTCAACTTAATTTTGTAGTGTAGACAAGCCCTAAAACAAAAGGAAAGAAGAGAATGAGTGTCACATTTATCATGCTAATAAGGTGCTTCCAAAGATCATTCACTTTTAAAATATTTTCCGGAAAGAAGCCCCAATTTCCTTCCCCATCTGTTTCTTCCCCTGCAAAAAATTTAGCATGTTGTTTTTTTCCCTCTCTCTGAACTTCCTTCCTCCTCAGTTGGATTCTGAATTGGCTGCTGCTCAGTTAAAGATAGTGGGTATATAGGCCAGCCTGTGGGTGTTATGTACATACATCAATCAACTGACTGACCTCTTTGACAGATAGTGGCCTCTCTACCTGCCCTGTATGATTAAGCATAAAGCAGAGACTAAAAAAATAGCATCTCTTACATTTATTGCCCTGTCTAAAAGCCTGTTTGATTTATTTCTTCCACTTCTTGTGTCCCAGTTTGTGTTCAAATAATTGAAATCTCTCATTAATACCATTATGTTCCTTTTGCATAGCTTTTTAATTTTTGCTGACTTTTCTGTTGCTCCTTCTGATGAAGCATCTTATAGCAAGCTCCTCTGTAAACTTATTTCCTTTATTGCATTTAATCTCAAAATGAAATAATTCTACCTCATCCAGAGTGGTCTCACCGATCTCCTCATTTCACTGCTTCCTTCCTATACATATAAGTTACTTATCCTGTCCTGCCCCTTCTCATCTGAACAATATATCTTTCAGTATTAACAATGTTGTTGCTCTCCAAGTACTGTCTCTTCCTCACATTCATTTATCATCCTCCAATTTAGTGCTGGCATATAATAATTTTGGAAGGCACCTGCACTATCCCCCTCCATCTTTCCTCCTTCCCTGACATCTCCATCTCTATTCTTCCTTCACTTCTCCTGTCCAAACCACCCTCTTCTCCCCACATGCTCAGTTTTCCTTTCTTATGCACTTACCCAGGTTCTTCTGTCTTTCCATTGAGACCACAGCAGGCTTGAAAACCCTTCTAGTACGGCTGGGGGTGGAGTGGAGTGGGGAGAATTGCAAAGGAAAGAAAGGTGCCTGGAGGCCCAAAGAACCTCCCGTAGGTAGGTTGGGTGGCCAAGACAGGACCTGTAGCAGCCTGTAGATGAGGTAAGTGGCAGCTGCTGGGAGACCAGCATTGAGAGAAGCGGAGCAGAGCTGTCTGGTCAGCAGGGCTCGAGGGACCAGCTGTGCAGAAGCTCACAGCACAGCAGTATCATTGCTGCAGAGGTCATAGGCAGGCTGTTCCATCTGGTACTCCTTTTGTCACTGCCTTTGTCACCTACGCTGCATACATTGCTGACATCACACAACCATTCCTAGGAGCACCCTGTGTGTAGTTTGCATGTCCCTAAGTGGCTTTAAGCTCACAATTGTCACTCTGACTTTTTTTGCTTTGACAAATCCATGACCTAAAATTTATTCCTATAAGCTTACAGTCCTAATTGTGTTCAGTGGTATATTGAGCACTCACAGTAACTATGGCAGTGATGGTTAGAAGTGAACACCTCTAGCACAATTTTTACCTGTAATTTAAAGAGGGGAATCATGAAGATGACTGGTTTGTACAAAATGTCATCCTGTTTCTCTTAGCAGAAATTATTCTAGCGATGTATAAAGAATTAGTAAGGCCACATTTGAAATGTGATGAATTCAACCTGTTTATAAATAGAATATTTTTAGAAAGGAAAAAAAGTACAACAGAAAGGAGTCAGAATGTTACAGGAACTATGAGATCTCAGTTCTTCAGAAAGGTTAGAGAAGCTATGGTATACCGTGGAAAGACTATTTATGAGAGGGAGCCCCACTGAGGTTATACTGCCTTTTGAAGGGAATAGAAATTTGATAAAATAAGGCTCTTTAGGTTAATGTCAGGTAAAATTATACAAGATGGTTATAGGTGTCTAAAGTAAAGCTCCCAAAGGACCAGTTTCTGATGCCTTATTCACATTGACTAGTTTCTTATTCCGCAAGTGATCCCATTGAAGTTTAATGGGATGACTCCTGGAGGAAAGCACTACTGAACTGGAGTAAGGGTATTAGAAATTACAAGAACTTGGGAATTTCTTTACATCAGTAGGAGACAAGACCTAAAATAAACCACTACCGGGAGCAACAAATACAAAACAACCTAAAAAGGAGCTAGACAGTATTTGGAAGAAATAATGTTGTGGGATGGGCCCATCGAAGAGTGTACCTAAGAATGACTTTCCGACAAGCCATTAAAATGTTTTGCACGAGTGCAGTATTAACCCATCAAATCTGGTATGTTCTATATACATAGAAGTCATCTGTGCAATTGTATTGGAAGGTGCTTCCAATCATTGTCATAGGGCTCACTAATCCCAGTAGTAGTGCCAGCTGTTGTTTATCACTTCTGGGCTATAGCCAATAAAGCATTTACTTCTGTTGCACCCATATGGTCCTCTCTGTGCTCCTGGTGCCTGCCTGCAGTACAACAGGATAGTAGTGAGGCTATGTGATGTACAGTATAGGGTGGAATGCGTATGCTTTTCTGGTGCCATAATTTCAATAACTATGAGATTCTCTAGAGGTTCAGTGCCCCTTGATACTTTTATACCAGTAGAATTAATTGAAATGGGGTTACCTGAAATAATGCAACTGATTTTATTTTTTAGTAGAGGGAACCTTTCTTCTTTTACTTGGTATATATGTAAAAAAAGGGGGGGAAATAATTTTAAAGCTGTAATACTGTTAAGAGGGACAAAAAGATAAATAGGTTCTCAGCTGATGTAAAGTGGCATAGCTCCATTATTTCAATGGAGCTGTACTAGTTTACATAAATTGAGGATCTTGGGCACACAGCAAAGTGAGTTAAGGACAAAGTGGTGTCTTAACTTGAAATGTGATCAGACCTTCAATATTATTTAAGAATTTTTTAATAATATATGTGTTTAAGCCAACTTGACTTTTGATTTGTTGCAACCACAGAAAATCTGTTTTCATCATTTCCTTCCTTCTGCTTCAGTGTCCATTCCCATTTCCCCCTCTTTTAAATAGCAGTTTGGGGTTTGGAAGAAACTGACTCCAAATATAGTGAAACAAAGTGATTGTTTCAGTGGTTTTTTGACACTGGACAAGTGGCATTGATAAAACTGAAGGTAACTCTTCTTAAGTAAGAATTCACTGCTTTTCCAAACTGGTATTGCTTAGGGCCTGGTGGGATTTCTTTGTTTTTCTTACAAACTCTTGCAACCCCAGTCAGCTGTACCTAGGCACCTTATCTGCTCAGCCTAGGGATATAGTGTGTCTGCTTTCTTAGAACAAACGATATTAAAATTAAAAAGTCAGCCATCGGGAAAGGCCCAGGATCTAGCATCTGCATCTTAAACCTCTGTATCCATGTTGATAGAGCAGAGTACTACCATAGTCACCCCATGGCAATGAAGCAGCAAGTATTTTGATTGTTGTGGCTTCTTAGCTAATTAGTGTCACCTTTGAGTAAATGGAAGCAGAGTGATTCGGAAACTGCCAAAACACTGATGCTGTTATATTAGAAACACAGGTCATACTTAAATTTATTACAGAATCATTTAAAATCTGTCAAAGCTGAAATAATACTTTCCCCACTCTTGTAAAGTGCTTTGAGATTTTGGAATGAAAAGTGCTATATACTTGTAAGGTGGTGTTGTGATCTAATTTAGTTTAGAGGTTTCTTTTAGACTCAAATAAAAAATAATTTACAACAACTTCAATGTTTGTTTGAGAAATCCAACACTGATCTGACTACCAGTGCTTTGAAAATGAAACATTCCATTTTCACTGCAGGAGGCAGCAGTTTTGCCAAAGTAACATTGCTTGAATTCTCCACAGAGAGATACAGTAACTGGTTGAAAGCGAGTTCATGATTAAAAATAAGAAATGTAATATATGTATGTTTGTTTAATTCTAATTGGTAGTTTTTCTTTTCTTTCAGCGATATCCAACAGAGAAGGTGTATTTCATAGCAAAGGAGATTCTTGCTACTGAACGGACATATGTGAAAGACCTAGAAGTCATTACAGTAGTAAGAGAGTTAAATTTCTTTAATGTTGTTCTGTGGCACCTTTAAGACTAACAGATGTATTGGAGCATAAGCTTTCGTGTGTCTGACGAAGTGAGTATTCACCCACGAAAGCTTATGCTCCAATACATCTGTTAGTCTTAAAGGTGCCACAGGACTCTGTTGCTTTTTACAGATCCAGACTAACACAGCTACCCCTCTGATACTTTAATGTTGTTGTTCCTCACAGTAGGTTTTTAACCATTAACTTGAAAAAATAGAAATTCTTCTTCGAGTGCTGTCCCTGTGAGTCCTCCACTTCAGGTGCCGGTGCGTCCTGGCACCGTCAATTGGAGATTTATGGTTGCAGTGTTTGTGCAGGTCGCATGTGCGCAGTAGGCATCTTGTGGTGCCGTTGGTGCTGCGTCTAGAGCACACACGACCCAAGCCATCCGGGTCCTTCTCAGCCGTCCAACTTATAAAAATAGCAGTTTAAGTAGTTAGTCTTTCTAATAGTTGTAGTTAGTGTTAGTGATGGTTTTAGTAAAACCAAAAAAAAAGTTTACGTTCTCAGTTTACACTCCCCATAGTTTCCCCACACCGGGGTCGGTTAACCGTTAAGATGCCTGGCTCCCCAGGCTTTAAGCAATGTGGCTCTTGCCACAAAGCAGTGCCTGTTTTGGACGGACACTCTTTGTATGTCCAATGTCTTGGGGAGGCGCATATCCCGCAAAAATGCACCCACTGCAGTAATCTGAAAGCGAGAGCCCGGCATGACCGAGATCTCTGGTTGAAAATGATACTGATGGAGAAATCTCTCCAACCAGAGCCAGACCAGCAGACCTCCTCTCTGGACACCCTCCTTGCAGGGACAGGAGAGGTGTCTCCCTCTAAAAGACTGAGGAAGAGGGCACAGACGTCTCTGCAGAGAGCACCGCAGAAACATAAGGTGGTCTCCTGCCAGGTCACTACCGACACATGCTCAAGTGAGCACCTACGACTCTCAGGGCACCGCTGAGTCCTGAGCGAAGGAGACAGAATCAAGGCACAGACAGCGACATGTCTTCTCCATGGCACCGAATTCACCCATAAGGGACTCTGTACCGAGCGTCTCCTCAGGCACCATGCCTCCACCCCCAGCACCAACATCGCAGTCAGCAGTGGTTGAGAAAACCCAGTTGGCACTGACCGCGCCAACTAAACCAACACAACAACTGACGGCACCGGCGTTGGCACCGATAAGAGCGCCCTGACAGTACTGATATTAGAACCACCACAAAATCTGCTGCAACAGAGTGACTTGGCTGTCTCGTCGGCACCGCAGTCCCCACTACTCAGTACTGAGGGCTCTCCTGTAAGTTATAGCGGAGATCGCCATACTGTTCATGACGTGGTACACTCATCCAGTGAAGATGATGATGATGTGTAGGAACCATGCACTTTCTCGCCGCACCACTCCTCACCGAAAGACCACCGACCACCCTGGAGCCAGATGGGGCCCAAAATACCCTTACAACCAGCCGGTTCAACCATGATATGGACCACTGTGGATGTGTCCACCGATGGGCTTCCCACTGCAATGGACACATTGGGAACCCTGAGCAATTTACCAGGGCCCCCACTCCAGGCCACCCATGGCTCATAGAGGCGAGCTGAAGTCTAATCCCACGTCTCCCACCCTGCAGCCAACGGAGGCTCAGGATGTTGGGGATAACACAGAAACAGGCACTGATCAGGAAGCGAATCTCATGCTCACAATTCTTCCTCCTCCCCGGATGAGGTAATCATGCCACCGCCACCTACCTTGGTAGATGACTTCAGACAGTTCCAGGAACTGTTTAAACGGGTCAACCAAAGCGAGGACATCCCATTGGAGGAAGTGCAGACAAACCAACACAAGCTGTTACAAATGTTACTACCTTCATCTACTTCCAAAATTGCTCTGCCCATCAATGATGCGATTTTGGAAGCAGCAAAAACAGTCTGGCAGACACTGGCCTCAATTTCTCCGACATGCTAAAGGGCTAAAATAAAGTAGTATGTCCCTGCCAAAGGGTGGACTTCCTCTTCTCGCTCCTGCCTCCCAACTCCTTGGTGGTCGATGCCACCAAGGGTCAACTCATAGCTAAAACAGCCCTCCAAGCGTCTTTGGACATCATGGCCACGGCAGCCAGAACCATGGCCATGGCTGTCATCATGCACCAGGTATCCTGGTTACAATCCTCTGGCGTACCTAAAGAGCTCCAAACCAAGTTCAAGGACCTACCTTTCGACTGAGAGAAGCTATTTTTGGCCAAGACAGACGAGGTGCTCCACTCAATGAAAGATTCTCGAGCCACTCTCTGCAATTTGGGGATCTACACTCCACCTGCGAAGAGAAGACGATTCCAGCCTTATAAGTGGAACAGGGATTCCTCTTTCAACTGACAGCAACAGCGGCAATACGAGAATCAAAGACAATGCCAATGTTCGCAGCGATGGAGAAACACCTCGATCTCAACCGTTGACTTCTCAAACAGTTCCACCCAAACAACAATTTTGAAGTTTTTGGCAAGGGTGTGTATGACTTCCCTCACCAGGCAGTGCTTACACCAAATCTGTCCCCATGCTTTGGTCACCAGCTTCACCCATTCTGCCACATCTAGCAGTCAATAACCATGGACCAATGGGTGTTGGATATCGTAGGATTGGGATATACCATCTCCTTTACCTCCCAACCATCTACCCTCCCCCCTTCCCCATCCCTCTTCAGGGAACCTTCTCACAAGCACCTATTACGACAAGAAGTCAATCATTTTCTTCAACTAGGTGCCGTGGAATGGGTACCTTCACAATACAGGGGGAACGGGTTCTACTCCCACTACTTCTTGACCGAGAATAAGAATGGGGGATGGAGACCTATCTTGGATCTCAGGAAGCTCAACAAGTTTGTATGCACTCAAAAGTTCAAGATGATCACACTGGGCACGATACTTCCAGCACTGCAAAAGGGGGACTGGTTTTCAGCCTTTGACCTTCAAGATACTTATTTTCATATTACCATACACCCCGCTCACAGGAAATTTCTGCGATTCGCAGTAGGACACAAACACTTCCAGTACAGAGTACTACCATTTGGCCTATCTACTGCACCAAGAGTTTTCTCCAAAACCCTAGCAGTAGTAGTGGCACATCTACGCAAACAGGGAATTATGATCTTCCTTTACCTGGACGATTGCCTTCTCAAAGGCCCAACTCAACAAGAAGCACAGGGCACAGTCCAGACGACGATAGCACTCTTCAGGGATCTAGGGCTACAGTTAAACGAACGAAAATCCACTCTAATCCCTGTCCAGCACTGGACTTCATTGGGGCACATCTCAGTGCCATAGAAGTCAAGGCATCCCTGCACTGCACAGATTCGCAACTCTGACAAACCTTATCTCAGAGGTAAGAGTCAGCCCCCAAATAGTGGTTCGTACTGTCCTGCAACTTCTAGGACACATGGCAGCTTCAGCGTTCGTGGTACAACACGCAGGACTACATATGCCCTGCCTACAGGACTGGTTAAGCTCGGCATACATACCCAGCAAGCATAGCCTGCACAAATGACTTACAGTACCACCCCATATCCTGGACTCTCTACACTGGTGGACAAGACCAGAAAATGTATGCATGGGCATTCCGTTCCAACAGGAACCCCCATCAATAGTAATCATGACAGACGCCTCGCTGATAGGCATCAGCACATGGTTCCAGGCAAATGGTCTCTTGCGAAGACTCAGCTACACATCAATCTATTAGAGCTACGCGCGGTCCGCAATGCCAGCAGACGCTTTCTGCCTTGCATAAAGAACGAATCAATTCATATAATGACCGACAACATTGCTTGCATGTTTTACATCAGTTGCCACGGGGGTGCTCAATCTTACTCGCTATGCACCGAAGCCATGAAACTGTGGAACTAGCGCATACATCATAACACAAACCTTCCTGGCTGTCAGAACATGTCGGCAGACAAACTCACCAGGTACGCCTCTTGAGAACACAAATGGGAAATGAATGACGGAGTCCTACTATCCATATTCTGCCGGTGGGGCACTCCCCTCATCGACCTGTTCACATCTCCAAAAAAGCACAAATGCGCAATGTTCCGCTCGAGAGCGGGAATGGGACCACAATCACTGGGGGACTATCTTCCTCCTCATATGGGATGCACAACTCATACGTGTTCCCACAGATTCCCCTAATATCATGCGTGGTACACAAGATATGCCTAGACAAGGCCAAGGTTATCCTCATAGTCCTGATGTGGTCCGGGCAAGCATGGTACCCTTTGGTGAACATGGCGATATGTGCCCCTCAAGCTCTCCCTTGCCGTCTGGACCTGCTGTCTCAGAACAACGATTGCACTCTTCACCCAAATCTGGAGGAACTCCACCTACAAACATGGTTCCATTATGGCAAACTAGCTTGCTCGGAACAAGTCAAACACGTATTACTAAACAGCAGGAAAGTAACCACGCATAATACTTACCTTCAAAACCGGAAGAGATTCTCCTCCTGGTGTCAAGAAAAACACATGCTGGCCGCCACAACACTGCTACCATTAGTGCTGGAATACCTACTGGAGCTGAAATGCTCGGGTTTAGTAGCAAGCTCAATCAAAGTCCACCTTGCAGCCATTACAGCATTCTATCATGAGATTGATGGGACCTCAGTCTTCACGCACCCCATCACTTAACACTTCCTCGCGTCTCCAGAACATTTACCCAGAGGTTCGCCAACCTACTCCGGCCTGGGATCTCAGTCTGGTATTGAAAGACCTCACCAGAACACCATTTGAATCCCCAGCCACCTGTTCCCTCCTACACTTGGTCACTATTGTTTCCGCCAGATGGGTGAGTGAGATAGGGGCTCTCATGGCCTATCCTCCCTACACAGTATTCTTCAAAGACAAGGTCATGCTACGTCCGCACCCAAAATTTCTACCAAAGGTAACATCATCCTTTCATATGAACCAACCAATCCATCTTCCTACGTTCTATCCCAAGCCTCATGAGACTCCAACAGAGACTGTCTTGCATACATTGGACGTCGGGGGAGCATTAGTGTTTTACCTGGAAAGGACCAAACCTTTCTGGAAATCTCCTAGACTTTTCGTTTCTACTACCAAGCATTTGAAAGGCTGTGCAATCTCCACTCAGACTGTCTAAATAGATCTCTACATGCATTCAACATTTGCTATCGTATTCGGAATGCAGACCCTCTTACCCACATCAGAGTGCATTCCACATGATCAGTTTCAACCTCAATAGCATTCCTAAACAATGTTCCAATACTAGAGATTTGTAGGGTGGCCACTTGGGTCTCTGTCCGCACATTCACTGAGCACTATGCAATCACTCAAGACTCCAGGGCTGATGCCATAGTTGGCCTAACTGTACTTATCTCTACGACTCAAATGAACCTGAAGTCCCTCCTGCCTTCTGAGGGGCACTGCTTTACAGTCACCTGAAGTGGAGCACCCACAGGGACAGCACTCAAAGAAGAAGAAGAGAGGGTTACTCACCTTGTGCAGTAACTGAGGTTCTTCAAGATGTCTCCCTGTGGGTGCTCCACTACCCACCCTCCTCCCCTCTACTTCGGAGTTCGCTGCTAGGACTCTGTGATAGAGAAGGAACTGGAGGGCTCGGGTTGTGCGCGCGCTAGACGCAGCACTAATGGCACCACAAGATGCCTACTGCGCACGCATAACCTGTGCGGATACTGCCACCATAAATCTCCAATCAACGGCACCGGGACGCACCAATACCTGAAATGGAGCACTCACAGGGACACACATCTTGAAGAACCTCAGTTACTGCACAAGGTAACTGTTCAGGAGTTACCTACAGTGGAGCACCCATAGGGACAGTACCCGAAGACAAAGAAGAAGTTACTCACTTTGTGCAGTAACGATGGTTCTTCGAGATGTTTGTCTCTATGGATGCTCCACGACCCACCCTACTCCCCTCTACTTTGGAGTTTTGCTAATAAATACTGCGGTAGAGAAGGAACGGAGAGGGAAATGCCTGCGCATGCTAGCTAGCCTCGTGGCGGGTGAGGCAATGCACATGTGCGGATGGGACGGACTGCTATTAAAATTCTCTGCTTGGCAATGCGGGGACGCATGCACACTTACAGTGGAGCACCCATAGGGGGGACACATCTCGAAGAACCATCGTTACTGCACAATGTGAGTAACTTCCTCCTCTTTCACCTGAGAAATTCTAAACTGTACATAAGATAACTGAAATACTTGGCACCTCAAAGACATAAGGTATGTTCCCTTCCTCCCTGTGAAAACACTGGGAACTAAAGATATTTTGCTTTGTATTATATATTTTTTCTCAATGTCTCCAACTGCTGAAAAACTCCATTTACTGTTACAAGCTTTACAAAAGAACCATTACATTAGTGTTGAAATAAAAGCAATTATACAACACTGGTTGTGGGAAAGTTCCAGAATCATATAATTTATTATGGTTATAGAATGGTCTATCTGCATCTTGCCACTGGAACATGGAATATGCCTATGGCTGGGGCCAAATGACTTGCTTCAAATTTTTGAGGGGGTGAGGAGAGAAATTGCATCTTTCTTTATATTCTCTAGATGATCTCTTCCTTAGACGTTTCCCTTTTCCTCCTGCTCTTTCTCTCCCCGTATCTTCAGGAGCTAAAATTCAGATTGTCTGTTAATAACATTTGACAAATGACCATTATTTATATTTTCTCCTGCAGTGGTTCCGCAGTGCAGTCATCAAGGAGAATGCCATGCCTGAAGGACTGATGACACTGCTCTTCTCTAATATAGATCCAATCTATGAGTTTCACCGAAGTTTCCTGAAAGAGATGGAGCAGAGGGTAGCACTATGGTAAGAATTAATAGTGAGCTTTGTGCCTGAGTTCTTGGGGATTGTCTGCTGTATGCTCAAGCGAAGGCTGTAGATGATCCTCAAATCTGTACAATTTGGCACTTCTGAAACTGTGTAAAAGGAATAAATGAAGAGGTGTTTTTAAAAATATAAATTATAGAAGGGGGAAAACTACAGCTAGAATACTCTTAAAAGGCCACAATTTCATGCATTATTGTCCCCACAATCCCTCAGATTTGTACATGTAAATTATATAATAGCGTACCTAATCATAGAATATCAGGGTTGGAAGGGACCTCAGGAGGTCATCTAGTCCAACCCCCTGCTCAAAGCAGGACCAATTCCCAACTAAATCATCCCAGCCAGGGCTTTGTCAACCCAGGCCTTAAAAACCTCCAAGGAAGGAGATTCCACCACCTCCCTAGGTAAAGCATTCCAGTGCTTCACCACCCTCCTAGTGAAATAGTGTTTCCTAATATCCAACCTAGACCTCCCCCACTGCAACTTGAGACCATTGCTCCTTGTTCTGTCAACTGCCACCACTGAGAACAGCCGAGCTCCATCCTCTCTGGAACCCCCCTTCAGGTAGTTGAAAGCAGCTATCAAATCCCCCCTCATTCTTCTCTTCTGGAGACTAAACAATCCCAGTTCCCTCAGCCTCTCCTCATAAGTCATGTGCTCAAGACCCCTAAGGATTTTTGTTGCCCTCCGTTGGACTCTTTCCAATATTTCCACATCCTTCTTGTAGTGTGGGGCCCAAAACTGGACACAGTACTCCAGATGAGGCCTCACCAATGTCGCATAAAGGGGAACGATGACATCCCTCGATCTGCTGGCAATGCCCCTACTTATACAGCCCAAAATGCCATTAGCCTTCTTGGCAACAAGAGCACACTGATGACTCATATCCAGCTTCTCGTCCACTGTGACCCCTAGGTCCTTTTCTGCAGAACTGCTACCTAGCCATTCGGTCCCTAGTCTGTAGCAGTGCATAGGATTCTTCCGTCCTAAGTGCAGGACTCTGCACTTGTCCTTGTTGAACCTCATCAGGTTTCTTTTGGCCCAATCCTCCAATTTGTCTAGGTCCCTCTGTATCTGATCCCTACCCTCCAGCGCCTCCCAGTTTAGTGTCATCTGCAAACTTGCTGAGAGTGCAGTCCACACCATCCTCCAGATCATTAATAAAGATATTAAACAAAACTGGCCCCAGGACCGACCCTTGGGGCACTCCGCTTGAAACCGGCTGCCAACTAGACATGGAGCCATTGATCACTACCCGTTGAGCCCGACGATCTAGCCAGCTTTCTATCCACCTTACAGTCCATTCATCCAGCCCATACTTCTTTAACTTGGCGGCAAGAATACTGAGGAGACCGTATCAAAAGCTTTGCTAAAGTCAAGGAATAACACATCCACTGCTTTCCCCTCATCCAGAGAGCCAGTTATCTCCTCATAGAAGGCAATTAGGTTAGTCAGGCACGACTTCCCCTTGGTGAATCCATGCTGACTGTTCCTGATCACTTTCCTCTCCTCTAAGTGTTTCATAATTGATTCCTTGAGGACCTGTTCCATGATTTTTCCAGGGACTGAGGTGAGGCTGACTGGCCTGTAGTTCCCCGGATCCTCCTTCTTCCCTTTTTTAAAGCTGGGCACTACATTAGCCTTTTTCCAGTCATCCGGGACCTCCCCCGATCGCCATGAGTTTTCAAAGATGATGGCCAATGGCTCCGCAATCACATCCGCCAACTCCTTTAGCACCCTCGGATGCAGCGCATCTGGCCCCATGGATTTGTGCTCATCCAGTTTTTCTAAATAGTCCCGAACCACTTCTTTCTCCACGGAGGGCTGGTCACCTCCTCCCCATACTGTGCTGCCCAGTCCAGCAGTCTGGGAGCTGACCTTGTTTGTGAAGACAGAAGCAAAAAAAGCATTGAGTACATTAGCTTTTTCCACATCCTCTGTCACTAGGTTGCCTCCCTCATTCAGTAAGGGGCCCACACTTTCCTTGACTTTCTTCTTGTTGCTAACATACCTGAAGAAACCCTTCTTGTTACTCTTAACATCTCTTGCTAGCTGCAACTCCAAGTGCGATTTGGCCTTCCTGATTTCACTCTTGCATGCCTGAGCAATATTTTTATACTCCTCCCTGGTCATTTGTCCAATCTTCCACTTCTTGTAAGCTTCTTTTTTGCGTTTAAGGTCAGCAAGGATTTCACTGTTAAGCCAAGCTGGTCGCCTGCCATATTTACTATTCTTTCTACACGTCGGGATGGTTTGTTCCTGCAACCACAATAAGGATTCTTTAAAATACAGCCAGCTCTCCTGGACCCCTTTGCCCTTCATGTTATTCTCCCAGGGAATCCTGCCCATCTGTTCCCTGAGGGAGTCAAAGTCTGCTTTTCTGAAGTCCAGGGTCCGTATTCTGCTGCTCTCCTTTCTTCCTTGTGTCAGGATCCTGAACTCGATCATCTCATGGTCACTGCCTCCCAGGTTCCCATCCACTTTTGCTTCCCCTACTAATTCTTCCCTGTTTGTGAGTAGCAGGTCAAGAAAAGCTCTGCCCCTAGTTGGTTCCTCCAGCACTTGCACCAGGAAATTGTCCCTTACACTTTCCAAAAACTTCCTGGATTGTCTGTGCACCGCTGTATTGCTCTCCCAGCAGATATCAGGGTGATTAAAGTCTCCCATGAGAACCAGGGCCTGTGATCTAGCAACTTCTGTTAGTTGCTGGAAGAACGCCTCGTCCACCTCATCCCCCTGGTCTGGTGGTCTATAGCAGACTCCGACCACGACATCACCCTTGTTGCTCACACTTCTCAACTTTATCCAGGGACTTTCAGGTTTTTCTGCAGTTTCATACCGGAGCTCTGAGCAGTCATACTCCTCTCTTACATACAATGCAACTCCTCCACCTTTTCTGCCCTCCCTGTCCTTCCTGAACAGTTTATATCCATCCATGACAGTACTCCAGTCATGTGAGTCATGTGCCAGGACTTCCAGTTCTCCCTGCTTGTTTCCCAGGCTTCTTGCATTTGTGTATAGGCACTTAAGATAACTTGCTGATCATCCAGCTTTCTCAGTATGAGACAGGAGTCCTCCCCTCTTGTGCTCTCCTGCTCTTGCTTCCTCCCAGGATCCCATTTCCCCACTTACCTCAGGGCTTTGGTCTCCTTCCCCCGGTGAACCTAGTTTAAAGCCCTCCTCACTAGGTTAGCCAGCCTGCTTGCAAAGATGCTCTTCCCTCTCTTCGTTAGGTGGAGCCCTTCTCTGCCTAGCACTCCTCCTTCTTGGAACACCATCCCATGGTCAAAGAATCCAAAGCCTTCTCTCCGACACCACCTGCGTAGCCATTCATTGACTTCCACGATTCGACGGTCTCTACCTGGGCCTTTTCCTTCCACAGAGAGGATGGACGAGAACACCTCTTGTGCCTCAAACTCCTTTATCCTTCTTCCCAGAGCCATGTAGTCTGCAGTGATCCACTCAGTATCGTTGGTGCCCATGTGGAGAAGCAGGAAGGGGTAGTGATCCAAGGGCTTGATAAATCTCGGCAGTCTCTCCGTCACATTGTGACGGCAAGGAGCAGACCTCTCGGTTTTCCTGTTTGGGGCGGCAGATAGATGACTCAGTCCCCCTGATTAGGGAGTCCCCGACCACCACCACCCACCTCCTTCTCTTGGGAGCGGTAGTCGTGGGACCCCCATCCCTAGGACAGTGCATCTCATGCCTTCCAATCGGTGGAGTCTCCTTCTGCTCCCTTCCCTCAGATGTATCATCTAGTCCACTCTCCGAATTAGTACCTGTGGAGAGAACATGAAAACGGTTGCTCACCTGTATCTGCATTGCTGGTACATGGACGCTCCTCTTTCTCCTTCTGGAGGTCACATGCTGCCAAATTTCTTCACCATCCTTCTGTCCCTGCTGCGCCTGCTCTGAATCTTCAGAACATTGTGGCCGTAGAAGCATCTCCTGACGTCTGTCCAGGAAATCTTCATTTTCCCTTATCCAATGCAGAGTCGATACTCGTTTCTCCAGACCTCGAACCTTCTCTTCCAATATGGAGACCAGCTTGCACTTTGTACAGACAAAGTCGCTTCTGTCCTGTGGAAGAAAGACAAACATGGCACAACCTATGCAGGTTACAACAGCTGATCGCTCACCTTCCATATCACCTTCCTCTTAAGAGCTTCCTCAGCTGTTCCAGTAACTAGTCAGAGAAACCCACAGATGAAAGCCTCAGTGCGCTCTCCCCAGGTGAACTCCCAGGCAAACTCCCTCTGTTAGCCTCTGCTGTTCGCCGCTCAGCAGGTTCGCTGCTGACTGCCCTTATATACCAGTCAGGCCCACTCAAGGCCCACCTGGAACAAAGCACTCCCAATTCACACTTTTCAAACAAACAAGCAAGCAAGCAATCAAGCACACAGTCAAACTGACAAACTATCCCAGCAACAGACACTCAGATACTCACCAACACAGCCCCCCTAATGCAGCACTTAGCGTACCTCCTCTCGGACAGCTCCCAGGCAAACTCCCTCTGTTAGCCTCTGCTGTTCGCCCTTTTTGTGTAACTATACACAAAAATCAACCTTTTTGTGTATAGTTATGTACTCAGCGTGCACAGATGTGTTTTTGCAGCAGAACCTATTGCTCCCTGTTCCAAAATTTTGACCTGATTTTCCTGGCCCTAGCAAAGAGAAGAAACACAAGGTCAAAAGGATAATAGTACATGTTCTTTGGGGTATTTTATTTGGTCAGGTTAAAGTATCTCCAAATAAAGTAACTGGAAAACAAATGTTTCTATGAATAAAAGATGCATAAGCAAAGTTATTAATTTCTCACAGAACAGCTTTTCTGATTTTAGAGAAGGGATTCCAGGACCAATGACCTTTGTTATTTTCTTGTAGCCTGAGACATAACGTGCTGGAATCTAACTAGCCATCATAGGTCCAATGTGCTAAGTTCTGTTCATGGAATTTAATTGATTTAATGATTTTTTTTCTACCTCTTTATAGTAGCAAACAAAATTTTCTCTGTGTAGACCCTGGATTTCATGACTTGGTTGTTGTGCCTCAGCTTATGAAGATTCTGACAGAGAGGGCATAAGCCAAATAATTGTATATGGTTACAGCAGCCTAGTTCTGGAAGAACAGAAGTGAACAAATACAGTGTACAAAAACTAACAAAAATAATTCAAACTCAGGTGGTACCCTGTCAAGACTATTTTTACAAATCTCTGAACAGTTATACCAACCTCATCATGGAGTTAATTTCTGATTCTTTCCTCATGTGATTGTGGGGTGGTTGTGGTTGGTTGTTCTTTTTTGTGGCCACCATATTTGCTGTTCCCCATGATTTCGACTGAAGTAGGAAGCATGGGGAGATGGATTGAAAGGCAGAATACGTCTTGTCTCCTTTGGTTATCCAAAAGTCATCTTTAGTACACACAAAAAATTGTTTCAGAGTAGCAGCCATGTTAGTCTGTATCCACAAAAAGAACAGGAGTACTTGTGGCACCTTAGAGACTAACAAATTTATTTGAGCATAAGCTTTCGTGGGCTACAGCCTACTTCGTCGGATGCATTTAGTGAAAAATACAGTAGGAAAAAATATATATATATATACACACACCATGAAACAATGGGTGTTACTATACACACTATAAGGAGAGTGATCAGTTGAGGTGAGCTTTTATCAGCAGGAGAGGGGGAAAAAAACTGTTTGTAGTGGTAATGAAAATGGCCCATTTCCAGCAATTGACAAGGAGATATGAGGAACTGTAGGGGGGGGGAAATAAGCATGGGGAAATAGTTTTACTTTGTGTAATGGTCCATCCACTCCCAGTCTTTGTTCAAGCCTAATTTAATGGTGTCCAATTTGCAAATTAATTCCAATTCAGCAGTCTCTCGTTGGAGTCTGTTTTTGAAGTTTTTTTGTTGTAATATTGTGACTTTTAGGTCTGTAATCGAGTGGCCAGGGAGATTGAAGTGTTCTCCAACTGGTTTTTGAATGTTATAATTCTTGATGTCTGATTTGTGTCCATTTATTCTTTTATGTAGAGACTGTCTGGTTTGGCCAATGTACATAGCAGAGGGGCATTGCTGGCACATGATGGCATATATCACATTGGTAGATGTGCAGGTGAACGAGCCTCTGATAGTGTGGCTGATGTGATTAGGTCCTATGATGGTATCCCCTGAATAGATATGTGGACAGAGTTGGCAACGGGCTTTGTTGCAAGGATAGGTTCCTGGGTTAGAGTTTTTCTTGTGTGGTGTGTGGTTGCTGGTGAGTATTTGCTTCAGGTTTGGAGGCTGTCTGTAAGCAAGGACTGGCCTGTCTCCCAAGATCTGTGAGAGTGATGGATCGTCCTTCAGGATAGGTTGTAGATCCTTGATGATGCACTGGAGAGGTTTTAGTTGGGGGCTGAAGGTGATGGCTAGTGGTGTTCTGTTACTTTCTTTGTTGGACCTGTCCTGTAGTAGGTGACTTCTGGGTACTCATCTGGCTCTGTCAATCTGTTTTTTCACTTCAGCAGGTGGGTATTGTAGTTGTAAGAATGCTTGATAGAGATCTTGTAGGTGTTTGCCTCTGTCTGAGGGGTTGGAGCAAATACAATTGTATCGTAGAGCTTGGCTGTAGACAATGGATCAAGTGGTGTGGTCTGGATGAAAGCTGGAAGCATGTAGGTAAGTATAGCGGTCAGTAGGTTTCTGGTATAGGGTCGTGTTTATGTGGCCGTCGTTTATTAGTACTGTAGTGTCCAGGAAGTGGATCTCTTTTGTGGACTGGTCCAGGCTGAGGTTGATGGTGGGGTGGAAATTATTGAAATCATGATGGAATTCCTCAAGGGCTTCTTTTCCATGGGTCCAGATGATGAAGATATCAATGTAGCGCAAGTAGAGTAGGGGTGTTAGGGGACGAGAGCTGAGGAAGCGTTGTTCTAAAAAATTGTGTATCCAGGGCCCTTATCTTAGTACAGTTTCTCATTCCATTGTTTATTTCCATTGTTTGTGTTTATTTCAGGGAAGGACAATCCAACTCTCATGTGAAAGGAGATTATCAACGGATTGGAGATGTCATGATGAGGAACATGTGTATGCTGAAGGTAGAAGAATTGACTCTTGAAATTCTGAGATTTTCAGATCAGCATCACTTATTGACAGGGTAGTAGTTCCAATTGTAGCATTTTCACCCAACTCAGTGATCTGTACATTAATTGATTATGGTTTGTAAATCACTTTAAAACAAAATGTAACAGGAGATTATTTGTAGCAACTAACACTACTGCCATTGTATTTTATATCACCTACATCTAAGACTGATAAGAGCTGGCTGCTTAGAAGACTAAGCGTTTGTCTGCATGAGGAAATTAAACAGCACAGATATAAAGGAACAATTATTCCACTATAGCAATGCCAGTATATAACTGCTTTTTTTAAAAAAAATGCTGGAGTAATTATTCTGGAATGAAATAATTTTTATTCGGGAATAGCGTTCACACACAGTTATACTAGCATAGTTGTAGCAAAATAATATAATAATAAAAGTATACTGGGTTCTTCAGTCATTGGAGTTATCCTTATCTGCCTTTTTGATCTATCTTCAGTTTGTTTTTATAACGTGAACTATAAGAGATGGTTAAAAATATCATGATTTTGGTGCAACCAATCTCTACCATAGTAACTAATTTCTACAGAATTTTTTATCCTCTGTCTCAGTGGACATCTGGTTTTGTTTGATTTTTGTGGTGTGTGGGGGGGGTGAGGGGGAGGTGTCTGTCCTGCTGTCTTTAAACTACCTTAACTTTGGGTTCCATTCCAGGTTCTGGAGAGGAGTGTACTATAGTGGGCACAAATCCTTTTGCTAGTCTCTTCCCTACCCCTGTCTCCTCGACCCTGTCTCCACCCCTCTGAATTCTAGTCTCTCTCTTTCGGGCTTGCAGTCAGTCCCAAAGCTTACCCAGCTTAAACTTTGCACATGTCCACATTGCCAGTACTAGCTCCTTTCTCTTTGGTTGTCAAATATTATGTACACTCTTTGTAGATTGTAAACTGTAATTACTACTAAGCAGCAATAGCAACTGTATTATAACTTTTTAATTTTTTCTTTTCAGATTCATGTTACTGTTTTATATGGCATATACTCAAAAATTAGGAAACACCAGAACTCAGGCTGCCTCTGCAACCCTAATTCAGCCCCCTTGTGTTATATGCATTATGATAGCCATTAATTATGGGATCACATACTGTTTTTTCCACATGATGCCTGCCTTATTTAGGGTGACAAGATGTCCTGATTTTGTAGGGACAGTCCTGATTTTTGGTTCTTTTTCTTATATAGGCTCCTATTACCCCCCATCCCCGTCCCGATTTTTAACACTTGCTGTCTGGTCACCCTAGCCTCATTCAGGGCACAGAATGGCTCTCTTAAGGAACAATTATTCAATATTTCCTTTTATCCTTGTTGTTTAATATGTGGCCCCAGACCATCCCGTGAGATGGAGTGTCATCCGCATTTTAGAAATTGGGAACTGAGGCACAGAGAAATAAATATGAAAAATATCTCTGAATTTTGGAATGTTCCATTTGAAATACCTTGGACCTGATTTTTCAGCATAATTAGCATCATATATCACTTTGTATAGAATCATAGAAGATTAGGGTTGGAAGAGACCTCAGGAGGTCATCTAGTCCAACTTCTTGCTCAAAGCAGGACCAACCCCAACTAAATCATCCCAGCCAGGGCTTTGTCAAGCCTGACCTTAAAAACCTCTAAGGATGGAGATTCCACCACCTCCCTAAGTAACCAATTCCAGTGCTTCACCACCCTCCTAGTGAAATAGTTTTTCCTAATATCCAACCTAGACTTCCCCCACTGCAACTTGAGACCATTGCTTCTTGTTCTGTCATCTGCCACCACTGAGAACAGCCTAGCTCCATCCTCTTTGGAAACCCCCTTCAGGTAGTTGAAGGCTCTTCCCCCTTTTCGTTAAGTGCATCCCATCTCTTCCTAGCAATCCTTCTTCCTGGAACAACACCCCATGGTCGAAGAATCCAAAGCCCTCTCTCTGACACCACCTGCGTAACCACGCAATTACCTCCACAATTCAATGGTCCCTACCTGGGCCTTTTCCTTCAACAGGGAGGATGGACAAGAACACGACTTGTGCCTCAGACTCCTTTATCCTTTTTCCCAGAGCCACGTAGTCTGCAGTGACCCACTCAAGGTCATTCTTGGCAGTATCATTGATGCCCATGTGGAGAAGTAGGAAGGGGTAAGTGGTCTGAGGGCTTGATTGGTCTCGGCAGACACTCTGTCACATGCTGAATCCTAGCTCCAGGCAAGCAGCACACTTCTCAAGTCTCCTGGTCTGGACGGGAGGCAGATGGATGACTCCGTTCCCCTTAGGAGGGAGTTCCTGACCACCACCACCTGTCATCTCCTCTTGGGAGTGGTGGTCGTGGAACCCCCATTCCTAGGACAATACATCCCATGCCTTGTGGTCAATGGGGTCTTCTTCTGATCCCTTCCCTCAGATGACTCTTCCAAACCATTCTCCGCCGTAGTACCTGTGCAGAGAGCCTGAAAAAGGTTTCTTACCTCTATCTAGATTGGGGGTACATGGGTTCTCCTCTTTCTTCTTCTGGAGGTCGCATGCTACCACTTTTCTTCCCTGTTCTGCACTGCCCTCTCTGATTCTTCAGTATGCTGTGCCTGCAGTACCAAACACTGACTTCTGTCGAGAAAGTTTTCATTTTCTCTGATGCAATGCAGGGTTGACACTTGGGTCTCTAGTCCTTTAATCTTCTCTTCCAATATGGAGACCAGCTTGCACTTCGTACAAACGAAGTTGATTCTACCTTCTGCGAGAAAGACAAACTATATGCTATATGTTCAAAGTACTACTCCCATTGACTTCAGTTGCACCTGAGTGCTTAGCACTTCTGTATCCAGATCCCAGGGTCTCAAGTCAAGCACCCAGAAAATGAAGAACATGCCATCCATGATCACCTATGAATAGTTTGGTTTAAGTGACTTGCCCAGCTTCACATAGGAGCTCTGTGTCAGAGGCAGGGATAGAATCCAGTTCCCCAAGGCAGCCTTCAAATGCCTTAACCATGAGACTCTCCTTTTTCCCCCTACAATTCCATGCCTCATCTCTACATACCATACAAATTCTGCAACAAATGAAGCAGGGATCCTACAGACAACAGCCTCCTTTGCCATACAGTGCTGATGCATCACCAGAGCAGACCCAGCCTGTGCACCAAATGAGGCAGGTGTTCTGTGGAAAAAATAGTATGTGAACAGATAATTAAAGACTTTATCATAATGCATACACACAAGGGAGGCAAATTGCATAGGCTGAGTTTCAGGAATCTTGGGTTCTATTTCAGGCTCGGGAGGGGAGTGTTCTCTGTCTTCTCCGGTCCCCCTCAAGTTTGACCCCTTCTGTCCCATCCCCTGCAACCTGTCCCAGGTCTGATCTCTTCCACACCCCTGGCTCCTTGTCCCAGTTTCCTCACCTTAGGCTTCTCATCACGGTCCCAGTTGTCTTGCCCACCATGTCTCTCCCTTTTGGGCTCACTGTCAGAGTCCCAATCTCACCCCCACCCCAACTCCCAGTCTGTTTCCTTGCCCAGGCAGTGCCAGTTCTCTCTTCCCAACTCCTCGTCTGATCTCTTTCCACTCTTCCCCACCCAACCTCTGCCCTCCAGTCATGTCCATGTCTCCCCACTACCACCATTGGCTCCCAGTCCCAGTATCTCTCCTTGGGCTCCTCGTCCAATCTTAGTCTCCCCAATCACCTCCCTGGCTCCTTATCCCAGTTTCTTTGCTCAGCCAATCCCAGTTCTCCCCCAGCTTCTTGTCTGATCTGTCTCCTTGGCCCCCAATACCCATTTTCCCCACCCCACCCCCCTCTGGTTTCAAGTCCCAGTCCCTTTATACAGCCAATCTTAGTCTCGCCTTCGCTTTCCAGCTCCTTGTCTAATCTCAGAGTTCCTCCCGCAAACTGGCTCCCAGTTTCCTCCCACCCACTCCTGGTCTCTCCCACAATGTCTCCCAGCCTCCCCTCCATCCTGTTCCCCAGCTCCCACTCTCAATCTCCTTGCCCAACCAGTACCAGTCACAACTGTCTTCTTGTACCAATATACTCCTTTCCCTCCCTCCAGTCTGGCTCTTGTCCCCTTTGCATTTGAGTCAGATGGCTTCCTCCTCCACTCTGCCTGGGCGTCAGAAATAGCTAAACTGTTTTGATTGAAATTTTCCAGAAAAAAAAATTCAGCCTGAGGCAGACACCCAGCAGGAAAAATTTCAGCCCAAACAGTTAAAGTTTGGCAAAGTTATAAGCAACTGAAAACGGGGTCTTGGAGTGGGAAGTGTCAGGTAACCTTAATAATAGGCAGTGCTATCCACGCCACCTATGAAGTATAAGTAATGGCTCTCTCCAGAGAACAAAAGCCAGCCAACCATATATGAATATATTTATTAGAGATTTTTAATAGAGCAGTTACGATATATGGTATTGCAAATGTTTATTTTTACCAACAGTCAGGGCATATGCAGATTTTGTTTATATTATTCATGTTTCAGTATTGTAAATAAAACTGAAGATGAGGGACAAGGGGATGCTAGTGTTTCTTGATGTCCATTGGTCAAATCTAGACCATGTTAAGGGTTTCCCCCCAGTTTCTAGTCATTCCTGTGTCTCTTGTGATCCAACAGGAGTTTACCAGCTACTTGCAGAAACATGATGAGGTCCTGACAGAACTGGAGAAAGCAACTAAGTGCTTAAAGAAACTGGAAATGGTTTATAAGGAGTTTGAATTGCAGAAGGTTTGCTATCTGCCACTCAACACTTTCCTGCTCAAGCCCATCCAGAGGCTGATACACTACAAGCTGATCCTGGGGAGACTTTGCAAGCACTACACAGTAGATCACCAGGACTATGCCGACTGCAGGAGTGAGTGAGCAGTGAAGATGCTAGTCTGAATTCTGTTCTCTCCTTTATATCAGTTTTGCATTTCAGCATCTCTTAGTGGATCCAGAAGTATTGCAGCTCAGAACTAAATGCAAAACTCCTTTCTTTGACCTAGCTTTCCTCAAAAATTTTGTTATACACAGAACTCACCCTCTCTTTCTCTCTCTCATTTGGATGCACAAGCAAGCTCGCCACCTAGAAGCTATGCTGTTTCTCCTGCAGGCTGAGAGTGTTTCTATTTTTATGTATGTGGCAGTTGCTCACATAACTATGAAGATGGGAGCTATATAGGTATCTAGCTCTCTTGGCTGAGATTTGCAAAGCTGTCTATAGGATTTAGACACATCTTCTATTAAATTTAATCCCCTAGGTGGCCTTGAAAATCTCAGCCTAAATATGTATTTTTCTTATGAAGATATGTCTTGTAACTGTTCCGTCTGGGTTCTGTCATTTAGCTCAGGAGACATTCTTCAGAACTGTCAACAACAGGCAATCCGGTCCATCCTCCCTCTTCAATATTTCTGCTTCCATTGAAGAACTCTAGATTACCTGTCCAGTTTTTGAGTGTAACTAGCACCACTCAGACAAGTGCCTAGCAGTGAGTTTCCTTTGCAGAGGCTACCATTTTCTCAGGTGTGCTAGCTCTTTTTGCAGTTTTATTTGGCTTCCCTTCTGTGTTACAGACAGATAGAATCATAGAAGATTAGGGTTGGGAGAGACCTCAGGAGGTCATCTAATCCAATCCCCTGTTCAAAGCAGGACCAACACCAACTAAATCATCCCAGCCAAGGCTTTGTCAAGCCGGGCCTTAAAAACCTCTAAGGATGGAGATTCCACCACCTCCCTAGGTAACCCATTCCAGTGCTTCACCACCCTCCAAGTGAAATAGTTTTTCCTAATACCCAACCTAGACCTCCCCTACTGCAACTTGAGACCATTGCTTCTTGTTCTGTCATCTGCCACCACTGAGAACAGCCTAACTCCATTCTCTGTGGGAACCCCCCTTCAGGTAGTTGAAGGCTGCTATCAAATTCCGCCTCACTCTTCTCTTCTGCAGACTAAATAACCCCACTTCCCTCAGCCTCTCCTCGTAAGTCATGTGCCCCAGCCCCTTAATCATTTTTGTTGCCCTCCGCTGGACTCTCTCCAATTTGTCCACATCCCTTCTGTAGTGGGGGGACCAAAACTAGATGCAAGACTCCAGGTGTGGCCTCACCAGTGCCAAATAGAGCGGAATAATCACTTCCCTTGATCTGCTGGTAATCCTCCTACTAATACAGCCCAATATGCCGTTGGCCTTCTTGGCAACAAGGGCACACTGCTGACTCATATCTAGCTTCTCATCCACTGTAATCCCCAGGTCCTTTTCTAAAGAACTGCTGCTTAGCCAGTCGGTCCCCAGCCTGTAGCGGTGCATGGGATTCTTCCGTCCTAAGTGCAGGACTCTGCACTTGTCCTTGTTGAACCTCATCAGATTTCTTTTGGCCCAATCCTCCAATTTGTCTAGGTCACTCTGGACCCTATCCCTACCCTCCAGCGTATCTACCTCTTCCCCCAGCTTAGTGTCATCTGCGAACTTGCTGAGGGTGCAATCCATTCCATCATCCAGATCATTAAATAAAGATGTTGAACAAAACCGGCCCCAGGACTGACCTCTGGGCACTCCACTTGATACCAGCTGCCAACTAGACATTGAGCCGTTGATCAATACCCATTGAGCCCGACAATCTAGCCAGATTTCTATCCACCTTATAGTTCATTCATCCAATCCATACTTTTTTCACTTGCTGTCAAGAATACTGTGGGAGACCATATCAAAAGCTTTGCTAAAGTCAAGATATATCACATCCACCGCTTTCCCCATATCCACAGAGCCAGTTATCTCATAATAGAAGGCAATCAGGTTGGTCAGGCATGACTTGCCCTTCGTGAATCCATGTTGACTGTTCCTGATCACCTTCCTCCCCTTCAAGTGCTTCAAAATGGTTTCCTTGAGAACCTGCTCCATGATTTTTCCAGGGACTGAGGTGAGGCTGACCAGTCTGTAGTTCCCCAGGTTCTCCTTCTTCCCTTTTTTAAAGATGGGCACTATATTTACCTTTTTTCCAATCATCCGGGACCTCCCCCGATCACCACGAGTTTTCAAAGATAATGGCCAATGGCTCTGTAATCGCATCAGCCAATTCCCTCAGCACCCTCAGATGCATTAGATCTGGACCCATGGACTTGTGCATGTCCAGCTTTTCTAAATAGTCCTTAACCTGGTCTTTCACCATTGAGGGCTGCTTGCCTTTTCCCCATACTGTGTTGCCCAGGACAGCAGTGTGGGAGCTGACCTTGTCTGTGAAGACGGAGGCAAAAAAAGCACTGAGTACTTCAGCTTTTTCCACATCATCTGTCACTAGGTTGCCTCCCCCATTCATTAAGGGTCCCACACTTTCCCTGACCTTTTTCTTGTTGCTAACATACCTGTCGAAACTCTTCTTGTTACTCTTCACATCCCTTGCTAGCTGCAACTGCGGTTGTGTTTTGGCCTTCCTGATTACACCCCTGTATGCTCGAGCAATATTTTTATACTCCTCCCTAGTCATCTGTCCAAGTTTCCACTTCTTGTAAACTTCCTTTTTGTGTTTAAGATCACAGAAGATTTCACTGTTAAGCCAAGCTGGTCGCCTGCCATATTTGCTGTGCTTTTCTGAAGTCCAGGGTCCATATTTTGCTACTCTCCTTTCTTCCTTTTGTGAGGATCCTGAACTCAACCATCTCATGGTCACTGCTGCACAGGTTGCCACCCACTTCTACTTCCCCTACCAATTCTTCCCTGTTTGTAAGCAGCAGGTCAAGATGAGGACGGCCCCTGGTTGGTTCCTCCAGTAGTTGCGCCATCTCGCTGTGTACTACAGACAGATGCCATTTGAGCACCTTTAGAGCAGGGAATCTCTTTGTTCAGCTACTGCTGGTAGAGGTCAGAGTGTCTTTTCTCTGAGTGGTGCCCTGTTGGCATGGCACTCAAAAATGCTTTTTTAGAGTGGCTCATTCTTAGATCATCTCCCGTGTGATTAGAAGCAACCTTCTCCTGGGCCACTGAGCTCATGTTTCCAGGCAGTCCCCTGCTTTTGGCCACTCTCAGAGATACTCACCTTCCCACTACAGGGTACTTTGCAACACCATCTCTGAAGTACTTCTGTTTCAGTCCAGCACAGGTGAGCTGCCCATCAGAAGCAGCTGATTGCAGCATGGCAGATCAGCAAAAGGGACCACAAGCAGAAAAGAAGCTGGTACAAAGGGCATCCATTTCACCCCTCCCTCGCCTACTGTTCACCTACCCACCCAAGACAGTGATACCAGTGAGAGCAGATAGCTGAATCCCCATCAGCAGCAGGTTCAGGATGCAGTTGAGCAGCTGCCAGAATTGTAATAGGATTCACCACCTTTTCTGCATGTGAAGAATTGTCTTCAGTCCAACCCCCAAATTCCTGAAGGAAAGGAAGCCATCAATCATCTTATGAAAGCTTGTAGACTTTGATTCTGGTAGACATGGTCATCTGAGATCCAGCTAATACCTCTCAGATGTAACTTTGTCTCAAAAATCAGTGCTTCACCACAGTATTGTACAAAGTTTGACAGCTAGATTATGAAAGGCCAGTTCTCAAAGCCAAGGGATATTTGAATCAGGCTGGCGTTCTTTTTACCGATGACAAGGCAGAAATTCATCTCCATGACTTCTGCAAGGGTGTGAATAAGATACAGACATAGTATGTGGAACCTGGGACATGAGGATTACAGCATCCCACAAATTGTCCCATTCAAACTCGTTGGCCTGGAATTGGGAGTGTTCACTAGTTTCCTGAAAGTGCAGTGTCTGCACTTTATGATGTAACAGACTCAAATAACAGAAAACTGGTGCTGCAACCATATATGATGGGATTTCTGAGGCCATCCAAATTACTGAAGTTTCCCAACCTGTTTTTTTCTTCGTTGAATGAAAAGTCATCTTAACTATTCCAAGAAATATCTTGCCACTTTGCCTATAAAAATGGGTTTCCTTGTTTCTTTGACCCCTGCCAGGAGGGCATCTGAACTACAAACACTGCCTATTTTCCACTGGGAGAGGAGGTGCTGTGTTTTTCCATCTGGCTTCATGTCTAAAGGTCCACAGAGTTTTACTGTTTTTATCATCATTTTGCCATCACAAAAAAAAAAAAAAAAAAAGAGAGAAGTGCTTAACGAGCTGTCTACACTGAACTAAGAAACTTGGCTAGTCAGCAGCACTATTCCTCAAATGCTATTCAAACTGCAGGGAAAAGACCTCAAATTAAATAAATGGAGCCTGGTGTGCATCAGAGAATCATATATGGCAAAGAGCATAATATGACCTGTTAGACATCATGTACATTTTAGGAGGTCAGCATAAATAGAAGAAACCTGTGGAATCGATGTCTGGTTACTGGACATTGCTAATCAGACCTTATGGCCTCCATTGAAGACATTTTTGGGAGAAAGGGCCTGCATGCTGTGATTGAAAATTAAGATAACACACCTGAAATAAATTTCCCTTAACTATAAATATATTGTTAGGTTATGTGCATTTCACACACTGCCCCCCAGTCACTTCTCAGGCACAAAAGGATTATCAGAAGTGCCTTCCTGATAGACAGAAATTACCAGCTAATTTATTCTCTTGGATAGCATGTCTGGTAATTCTTCCCTCTTTTGGGTAAACATATAGCTTTCAAATGCCCCTTTCACACAAGTAAACCGAAAGTCTTGGTTAGTCAATATTGAGTTTTAAAAAGTTAGAAGAGGAAAGGGAGAGGGAAAAAAAGTACTTCTGATATTATAGCCTGTGATTGACAGCTCTGGAGACTGGACTCTGTCCTTTCCCAGGGCAGACATACTGATTAGCAAATTTGCTATTGAAGAGAAAATAAATTAAAGTGAGAGAGAGAGAGAGCGCGTTTGTGTGTAATGTTTTTTTGTTTTGTGTTTTTTGGTTGGACCTACAAAAAGTATGGTTTGCTCATTCTGCTCGTTCTGCAGTCATTTAAACAGTGATGATATTAGTCCACAGAGAAAGATGTTTTGGCTTAAAATGCTGTAAATTCAAGCTGTGAAATTAATACAGTCTAGTAAATTCAATACCATTTAAAAATAATAGAAAATGCTAAATGGAAAAGCACAAAACTGGCAGGAAAATGTTTAAGTTTAAAGCATGAGTTCACTTGTGTTTTAAAATTAGGTTTTTTGTTTGTTTTGTTTGTTTGTTTGTTTTTTAAACACTAGTTTGGGGCTTTATCAGTCTCCTGCCATACGCTGGTACAATCGTCCCTGTATGAAAACAATATCACCTTCAAAAGCACCACCCCAGAATAGGAGATTTTATTAACACCTGTTAGTAGCAGAAATAAATAGATAGCTTTAATGAATACTGTTCTATTTGAATAGAAAAGTCCTTTTCTCCTCTGCCATTCCCCAATTTTTTTTTCCCTTTTCACAATCTTTAATATTTTTAATCCAAGTTGGAAAATGAGTCCTTGCTTCCAACTGTGGAGGAAAAGATGTAATACTCATTCAGAAACTCTTGCTTGGTTAAATATATAAATGTAGCAAAGAAGTTGCCATAGCATATAGTGTCATATTTTCTAACTTTCAAACTAAAGTATTGGTTACATGGTAATTACTTTTGGATTTATAAATTGTAATTACCTGGTAATCTCCAGAAACATGTAATTACCATGAAGTTGCATGATATTCTCTGTGTGATTAAAAATAAATGCATACATAAATTTGAGCCCTTTTAACTGAGTGTTACAAAATAACTGATGATAGATTGATGGCTAGGACCCCTGGCTTTGTCTGCAGAGCCCTGATCTGTGTTGGTGTTGCTTTTCCTGCAGATGCACTGAAGGAGGTTACAGAGATGACATCTCAGCTCCAAAACAGCCTGATCCGCCTGGAGAATTTCCAGAAGCTGACAGAGCTACAACATGACTTGATTGGCATTGATAACCTCATAGCACCTGGCAGAGTAGGTAACTTTCTTTGCTTAACTTCTAAAGCCTTTATTGGCTTTGATTACTTAGGAACAACATTTATATAACATACTTATTTACCTGTCACAGACTTTAACTATGTATTTATCTTAAAGCCTGTAAGGGTTCTCATAGGATATGTGTCTGTATACCAGGTCACATTTCCCCCTTGTAATGGTACTGTAAGGAACAAAAACAAAAATAATTCAACTTAGATTGATATTCCATTGCCCTGCTCTGAGTACAACAGGTACTTGGTGAGCTGTTATGGTTGGCCCTTGGATATGAGGATTATGTCACCAAACAATGACCACGCTGCTAGGTCCGCTGGGTCAGTCTCTGATTTATCTCTGCTTTAGAATGGCCTGAGAGAATATGGAGAATATAGCATTGATGAGAGGAGCATCAACAGAGTAGGTACCAGTGTTAGCATTAACCCTGAGTATCCGTGACTTTGGGAGGATTTTTTAGATTCTAGATATATTATTTTTCTGATTCACATATTGGTAGTGTGGCACATCAGAGAACTAATGGACAGTTTAGCGTTCTATAGGTTTAATGGGGCATTAGTTCAGTAGCCAGTATGCTAAAGTCTAGCCTTTTGTCAGAAATTGCCTTTTCTCGCTTATTCCAAATGGTGTTTGCAACAAGGAGAAAGTGGGGAAAAGGAAGAGACCTCAAAACTCTGTGCACTTGGAGAAAGGGAAAGCTTGATGTAACTTTCTTTTTCCCCACAGGAATTTATCCGGGAGGGTTGCTTGTACAAGCTCACTAAAAAAGGTTTACAACAGAGGATGTTCTTTCTGGTGAGTGCTTCCTTTGCTGTCTACACATCAAGTGTCCTCAAGGCATAGCCACAAACCAAGCTGTTTTCAGGGATTGAGTCCCAGTACAGAGATGATGGAGCTCAACATGCTAACCAAAAGTTCACTGAGTTTCTTCTCATGGTATATGGAGGACAGCAGTAATCCAGTCCATTTTCTGTTTACTTACACCCATTTATTTAATTTAAGTACATTTAAAAAGCCATGTTAATATCAAGCTCCATTAGAGAAACAAAGCAAATGTTTTTAATGGAAATGGACAAAATTGGAAGAGAAAGAAACTTTATTTTCATGCTTTTAAAAGGTATTACAAACAATGGCAAACTTAAACAAAACATCTGTGTGGAAAAGGTACCGAGTAATGTCTTTTTAAGCATACAGGTTATATTCCTCCTTCCTCTGTCAGTTCTCAGATATGTTGCTGTACACAAGCAAAGGAGTCACGGGTACCAATCAGTTCAAAATTCATGGACACCTCCCTCTGCATGGCATGCTGGTAAGTAGTTTCTTTCAAAGTGCACCACAGCATTGGTTAAATAAATAAATAAGCCACTGTGCACGGAGGCCTCTTGGTGCATTCACTTCATGCAGTTATGCTGAACTAAAGTCTCAGCTGCTGGTCAGGAGTGAGGTGCTTCCAGGCTGTTGAAAGCAGCCTCACTGCCAGGGTTGTCAAAGACCATGGAGATGTGGACTGGACCTTTTTCATGCTTTAGTCTGTGTGTGATGCCAGCGGACAAAGCACTCATTCTTTTCACCTCACTAGCAAAGCAATCTGAAGACAAACCTTGTTTAACTCTTCACTTTTGCATGACTGTTTGAGACTGATCTGGGAATGCTGATCTGTGCTGTTGTTTTTCACAACTAGCCATATCAGCTCTTTTACCCCTTCTTCTAATGGAGCTATTCTTTCTTTGTTTGACTTACAGTTAATAGTGCTGGATCCTCCGGTGAGTAATAAGATGAACCTTAGTTGGAGTTGCTCCTTTCTGACCCCATTGACTATGGCATTTACACAGCCTACAGATGTGGCACTAGAACTATAACACATAGATTCCAGTGTAGAACCAAAATAGACTTTGAGTGCTTTTGAAGTAGCTGACTTTCATACTTGTTGCAACTCTGAAGTCATGGTGTTGTGAATGAGTTCCTATCTAACCAGAGAGAACAACTTGGGTACCTACCATTGCACAGTGAGTGATGAGAGAAACCTTTTTTCTTCATGTTAGGTGGAAGAGAGTGAGAATGAATGGTCTGTCCCACACTGCTTCACAATCTATTCAGCTCAGAAAACAATAGTAGTGGCAGCAAGGTATGTATTTCTTCTTCCCAGCCACAATCAGGTAAGAGCCCTTGGATTAAACATTTGGCTGCTGATTGCAGGGGCCAGAGGAGTGCTTCATGGTCCCTCGGGAAAGCATGGTTTTGACAATAGGTTTGAAATATTCAGCATTTAAAGACCTTTTATTAATGCCATGTTACAGAAAGGAGTATTTGATCTAACCAAACCATGCATTCTTAAAGGAACAGCAGCAGAAGTGACATTGCTAGTGCATTGTTTCCTGATGAGCTGGCTGAGCTTGCAGTGAAAGCCTTTAACCAATTGATTTAAAACAGGAAAAGGGGGAAAGATACAAGTGATGCTATTTGGCGATCTAAACATGGAAATATTTTAGAGAGCCAAACAAAACCCAAACCCCAGTTAAAATGTAGAAAATGAAAATGGGATTAAGAAGTGCAGAATTCCTGGGCAGATGTAATGGAGGCATTGCACAAGCCAGGAAATGAGATGAGTTCAAGGATGGCTTGTAAAGTAAACAAAGTTCTTTTCAACTTAGCCCTTTTCTCTTTTAGAAAATTGAGTGTTAGCAGCTCCCTGCTGGACAACACAACAATAAATCAAGACCTTTCCCTCATATTACAGCTTTCAGATAGATAGTAAAAGACGTGACCTAGAAGGAATGGTACATAATCCAGAGAACTGATTTACAAAAGTGAACTTTTCTTCTGCACAATATTCAGTTCTCTGTAATTTGCTTTTTTTGTAAGTGATTAGAAAACAGAATATTTACATGACCTATAAGCTAAATTTTTCAGTCTTTATTTAGTTATTACTGAGGGAAGTCTCCAGTTAATTCAATGTGAGCTTTGCCTACATAAGGATTGCAGTTGGGATTGATACATTTGCAAGGCAAAACTTCACACTAAGGTGATAAATATATGCTGTAGAAAGGACAGGATGTACAAAGAGACTGGCTAAATTAGTGAGAACCTAAACTTTTCCATTTCCAGATTTGGAGCATATAAATTTGTTACCTCAATGTTACAGTAAGGTAAACCATTGTATTTCACTACAGAATTTGTAATAGTTGTTGCTAAAAAGATGCTTTTAAAACTGGATTGGTTTATTGTTTGTTGGTTTACTGTCACTCAGGTTTATTGTTTTTCTTTATACTCAAGATGTAATCTCTCTATACTCCAAATGTAAAATTTAATTTACAATTTCTACAATCTCCTAGGAACATACCCCAGTAGTTCTTGTGCATCTAAAATTTCCATGGGATTCAGTTGAAGTTATGCATGCACAGGTGATGCAGAATTGGAGCCCTTAATCTAAAGGTTACATATTCTTTGTAGTGTTTTTTTATTCAGCTAGTTTCATAGCTCCTAATGTTAGCAAAAGCTATTGCCAGACATTTGTGAAATCAAGTTTTTAATGGCTTACCAGTCACTTATTTTATATTTTGCATATTAGCAAAAGGACTAAACGAACCCTTTTCGAGTGCTAGCTTACCTGAAAATGTCAGTTTTGAAGTTCAGCCATTTTTTAGTCAACTGTGAGCCAAAAAACCAGCTTTGAAATATGCTTAAAATCAGAAGAGTATATAATTTTTTTCACCCCGTCATAACTTGGAAATGTTTGACAGGATTTTTCTAAAACTTAAAAAAGAACAAATGCTTTGTCTTGATACTAAAAGGAAAAATGTACTCTGTAGCAACTATTCCAGAAAATAAAAAATATGACCTATGAAGTTCTTACCCAGTAATCACAGTGTCATCCATATAATCTATAAATGGTTACCATATGCTCTGGAATAAAAATAAATCTTCAACATCCTTCATTCTCTGTTTTACTCTGAAGATGAAAGCTAAAATAGACATCCTTTTTAAAAGGAGTGCCATCCTTCAAATGCTTCAGTATTATCATTTTCAGTGTCATTCTACCTACCCAGTCTAAGATGCCTTCCTTTAATATGATCTTCAGTCTGAAAATATTTCTTATCTCAAAAAAAGTAGATAAGTCATAAAGCCCATATAAAGAATGATGATATTCCTTGTAATTTCATCCCAAAATATGTATGGCACACAACCCTAGAACATGTTGTTAAAATTATACAGCAGTTGAGTCTGACAGGTCTGCTGTTCATTCTCTCATCTTTTCAGTAGATTGTGTATGATTTTTAAACTGTTATTTTAAACCTGTGTCTTCAACTGCTTGGTAATCATAAACTCTAACTTCTCCCTACTCCACCCTCCCATTCTGTGTCTTACATTTTAATAGCATGCTGCAATATATTTAACAGAATTATCTGTAATTAAATGTTTGAGCCCTAAATTTGATTTTCTGCATTTAAAAGGCAAGATCCCCATCAGAAGGCTTCATAAAGAATCACTTAGTAAAGTTTCAGAGTGGTAGCTGTGTTAGTCTGTATCAGCCAAAAGAACAAGGAGTACTTGTGGCACCATAGAGACTAACAAATTTATTTGAGCATAAGCTTTCGTGGGCTAAAACCCACTTCATATGTATATATATCTTCCTACTGTATTTTCCACTGCATGCATCCGATAAAGTGGGTTTTAGTCCACGAAAGCTTATGCTCAAATAAATTTGTTAGTCTCTAAGGTGCCACAAGTACTCCTTAGTAAAGTGGTCACCAACTAAAAAGTCAGCTTTTGCCAGCAGTTACCACACATAATTATCTGAGGTTACTAGGTTTTCCTTATAGTTAGTTACCACAAATGTCTCCTATTCTATATGATATAGGTTGGAAAATGTTGGGTTTTTTTAAAGGGCTTTTGTTTTAAAAATTTGGGTACATCAGCTCCCTTGAGAGTAGTGTCATAGCTCATGTCTGGAGGGAATTAGGTTCAGGGGAGATCAACTTAACTAAGTTACCATTGCACAGGATGGGCCAATGAGCATTGCAACTGTTCTCTATACTTTTCAAACAAGCCCAGGTTGATTTCAGATGGCAGGAGGATGGGGAGGAGTGAAATTTTCTATGACTTTGCACACTTGAAGTTGTGGAACTTAAATCCCTGTCAGGAAAGCTGCTTCTGTTGCTATATGATAAACTGTGAACAAACATCATATTTTGGTAGCTCAAAATGCTGGGATATCAAAGTTCATCTTGATTCAAAAATCTAGCACTATGTCCCAGTCCAAAACCAGGATGCTTAGCCAGCAGCACTCTTTGTTTTGCAGTACCCGTCTGGAGATGGGGAAGTGGATGGAAGACCTAAACATGGCGATTGAAATGGCCAAAAAATCTAGTGAGAAATATGACACGTTTTTGGAAAGCTCCATGTATAATCGCTCTAACAGTAAGTAGCATTTTCCTTCTTTATTGACATAATGCAAATGGTGCTGTGATCTCTGCATCTTCCAAATTCTCAGACAGGAAGGATAAGTGGTATATACTAATGGAGTGCTGTTTCCTTATTTTCCTTAGAGTAGACTCCCCTAGCTAGAGTGATGTTTCTGGTATTTTGAGACTCAGCAGATAGAAGTTTGTGTTGCAAAGCAATAATGTGTTTTGCATGGTCCATAATCCCCTTAACCATCTCTTATTTTGGAGAATATTCCTCTGTTTAACCACACAGTGCTTTTTCCAGTCCATAGAAGCTGGTATCTTTGATGGACAAGAAGTTCCTGACAGCCTCTCCTAGACTGAAAACTGTGTGTTTTTACCGTGGTCTGTGATGAAGCATGTGACATTCCTTTTTTCAGTGAATTTTCTCTGTTGCACAGTGAGAAGGGGCTCTTTCCAAGTCACATGCTTCTCTGGATGTGATATTGTAAAACATATGCTCAGCGTTTTAATACAAGCTGCATTTTTTATTTCTATGAGTCAGATATCCCAAACACAGTTGGATCGTGACAGCCAGAATGATCTGTTCAGTGAGACTTTCAGGAGCTGTGTAACAAATTCATGCTGATGTCTGTTAGTGTTGGGTAGGTTCAAGAAAAAGTTGCAGACGTTCCGAGGAATCCCAGTTTCTGCCACAGGCTATGTATCACAGTTTTCTTAAACTGCCGCTGAATTCTCCTCCCCCAGGATCCTCTGATGAGGTCTCTCTAGAGCAGGAATCCGAAGATGACATACAGTCTTCTCGTAGCTCCCTGGACAGGCAGAGCCACCACCGTGCCAACACTACAATGCACGTGTGCTGGTACCGCAACACCAGTGTCTCCATGACTGACCACAGTGTGGCCGTCGAGGTACCCTATAGGGCACAGCTCTCACTTCTCAATGTCTGTCTCAAATCATTCACCACCTGATCTTCCTCCAGTATACGTTTGTTACCATTAGTCATTTCTGTGGTGATCAGAGAGAGAGTGAGTGAGTGAAAGGTTAATAAATGTTTGAACATGCATGTGTGTCTGTGTGTATACATGTACACATGTTGCTACCCCACCACAGTGTTCTTATTCAAGGGAGTGTTTTGAAGAAGAAAAATGTAAAAAGAAAACTAGAAAACTTCTAGGACAGAATTTTTAACTTGAGTTTCTTGAGATCCTCAGCCTCTCCAGAGGGAACTGGCTATTTTTCTCTTTCTGCCAATGGTGTTCTAGTTTAGGGCCAATCCTGAGCTACCAAACCCTGGGATTGGGTGCTAATTAGCTACTGTACTTCGTTCATTGTCCCTGGACTTAGAAACTGCTTTACTCTCAATATTTTCATAAAGTTGAACTATTTCTCCTTCGAGAGGGCCTCTGCATATTCCCATTTGTGCGATGTACCCTTCCCTGAACCAGCCCTGCTGAGCTTTGGGAAGCAGGGAGTGCCATTTCCATTCAACATTTGTCTAAGGCCTGGTCTACACTACGAGTTTAGGTCGACTTTAGCAGCGTTAAATCGAATTAAGCCTGGACACGTTCACACAACGAAGCCCTTTCTTTCGACTTAAAGGGCCCTTTAAACCGGTTTCTTTACTCCACCTCCGACGAGGGGATTAGCGATAAAATCGGCCTTAGCGGGTCGGAATTGGGGTAGTGTGGACGGAATTCGACGTTCTTGGCCTCCGGGAGCTATCCCACAGTGCTTCATTGTGACCGCTCTGGACAGCACTCTCAACTCAGATGCACTGACCAGGTAGACAGGAAAAGCCCCGCGAAAGTTTGAATTTCATTTCCTGTTTGCTCAGCCTGGAGAGCACAGGTGACCACGCAGAGCTCATCAGCACAGGTAACCGTGATGGAGTCCCAGGATCGCAAAAGAGCTCCATCATGGACCGAACGGGAGGTACAGGATCTGCTCGCCATATGGGGAGATGAATCAGTGCTAGCTGAACTCCATAGCAGTAAACAAAATGGCAAAATATTAGAAAAGGTCTCCAAGGCCATGAAGGACAGAGGCCATAACAGGGACGCACAGCAGTACCGCGTGAAAATTAAGGAGCTAAGGCAAGCCTACCACAAAGCCAGAGAGGCAAACGGAAGGTCTGGGGCAAAGCTGCAAACATGCCGCTTCTACGCGGAGCTGCATGCCATGCTAGGGGGTGCAGCCACCACTACCCCAACCGTGTGCTATGACTCCCTCACTGGAGAAACACACAGGGAAGCGGGTTCGGGGTACGAGGAAGATGAGGATGAAGATAATGTAGATAGCTCACAGCAGCAAGGAAGCGGAGAAACCGGTTTCCCCAACAGCCAGGATCTGTTTATCACCCTGGACCTGGAACCAGTAACCCCCGAACTCACCCAAGGTGTGCTCCCAGACCCTGAGGGCACACAGGGGACCTCTGGTGAGTGTACCTTTGTAAATATTACACATGGTTTAAAAGCAAGCGTGTTTAATGATTAATTTGCCCTGGCAATCGCGGCCAGTACAGCTACTGGAAAAGTCTGTTAACGTGTATGGGGATGGAGCGGAAATCC